CCATTCCGAGTGCGATAACTATATCTTATTAGCTTCAGAATTCTCCCTGTCAAGTCATATGACTTGGAAATGGCTGAGGTGTTCAGAGGAGGACAAAGCTGTATTGATTTTCAATGGCATTAAAACAAAGATGCTCCTAACTCACTGTGGCCCTGCTTCTCAGAGATACAATCTATGTCCCAAATGATGCCCTATTCCCTATATAGTGCACTATGTGGTCAAAAGCAATGCACTATATAGGGACTAGCATGCCATTTGGGACGTATCCTCGGTGTGTGAATAGGTATCATCAGACACATCAGTCAGTCTGTACAGGTGGAAAGAGCAGGCTGATTCACTATCAACTGGCTTCTTCTCTCCAGCTCCTCTAAAAGCCTTATTGATCTATCTGAATGAAGAAGAGAGAGAGAGAGAGGTGAGATGATAGGAGGAGAGAAAGAGGTGGGATGAGAGAGTGGGGAGAGAGAGAGAGAGAGAGAGAGAGAGAGAGAGAGAGAGAGAGAGAGAGAGAGGGAGAGAGAGAGAGAGAGAGAGAGAGAGAGAGAGAGGGGGGGGGGGGGAGCGAGAGAGAGAGGACCTCAGGATACTAGACTACAGTATCAAGTGTGGGAAAATGCTCATATTTTCTTTATGCGGATTTTAGAATATTCGCATGAAAATCTGTCGCCAATTGGATGGAAACCTAGCTGTACATGTATATATTGATCGATATTGAGCAGAAATATATTCCCTACCAGAGTGCTTTTTAACACTTTTTAACACTTTCTACCATTCAAGTGTCTGAGAAAATACATAACATAGCATTTGGTAAAACATAACTGGTCAATTTACACTATATATACAAAAGTATGTGGACACCCCTTTATATTAGTGGATTCGGCTATTTCAGCCACACCCGTTGCTGACAGGTGTATAAAATCGGGCGTACAGCCATGAAATCTCCATAGACAAACATTGGCAGTAGAATGGCCTTACTGAAGAGCTCAGTGACTTTTAACGTGGCACAGTCATAGGATGCCACCTTTCCAACACATTTCTGACCTGCTAGAGCTGCCAAGGTCAACTGTAAGTGCTGTTTTTGTGAAGTGGAAACGTCTAGGAGCAACAACGGCTCAACCGCAAAGTGGTAGGCCACACAAGCTCACAGAATTGGACTGCCGAGTGCTGAAGTGCGTAGCATGTAAAAATTGTCTATCCTCGGTTGCAACACTCACTACCGAGTTCCAAACTGCCTCTGGAAGCAACGTCAGCACAATAACTGTTCGTCGGGAGCTTCATGAAGTTGGTTTCCATGGCAGAGCAGCTGCACACAAGCCTAAGATCGCCATGTGCAATGCTAAGCGTCAGCTGGAGTGGTGTAAAGCTCGCTGCCATTGGACTCTGGAGCATTGGAAACACGTTCTCTGGAGTGATGAATCACACTTCACCATCTGGCAGTCCGACGGACTAATCTGGGTTTGGCGGATGCCAGGAAAATGCTACCTGCCCGAATGCATAGTGCCAACTGTAAAGTTTGATGGAGGAAGAATAATGGTCTGAGGCTGTTTTTTGTGGTTTGGGCTAGGCCCCTTAGTTCCAGTGAAGGGAAATCTTAACGCTATAGCATACAATGACATTCTAGATGATTCTGTGCTTCCAACTTTGTGGCAACAATTTGGGGAAGGCCCTTTCCTGTTTCAGCATGGCAATGCACAAAGCGAGGTCCGTACAGAAATGGTTTGTCAAGATCGTTGTGGAAGAACTTGACTGTGCTGCACAGAGCCCTGACCTCAATCCCATCGAACTCCTTTGGGATGAATTGGAAAGCCGACTGCGAGCCAGGCCTAATCGTCCAACAACAGTGCCT